GCACTAACCGAGCAAGTAGAACTGATATTATCCTTGCTTATGTTAGTAGATAGCAATCAAAATATAATCTTGAAGAAAAGTGGATCATATCTTTCCTTCACTTTCCCTTCTCTCTTCTATCTATTCTCAGTCATGCTCCTTGCTGTACCCTCCTTGAATTCTAGATCAAACATAACAAATCTGAGGAGGCAGAAAGTTAAAAACCAAAAAAGGCGACAATGATTTTAAATGAGCAACCTTCACGATCTCGGTGATGTCCACCTCGACTTTCATTCCTTCTGCGATCACGGGTTCTCAATTTTTCGCCATCTCTTCTGGAACGTTTTACTGAATCATAAGAATCATGATCTCTGCTTCTACTTCTTCGCCGTCGCGTAGAATCACGTTCCCCATGTTTCCGTTTTTGATGCCCAGAATGGTCAGATTCGTCTCTTCGCCGTACAGAGCCATCTTCAGCACTGTCGCCCCTGGCTCGTCGTCTACGAGGAGGCGACACATCCGAATCATTGTCGTCTGCCGCATTACCGCGTCGCACTGGTGAGATATCCGAATCCTCACTCCTGCTGCTTAAATCCCCCCTTGAAAAGTTCGTCCTCCTTCCGGTGTGATTTCTTGGTGGCGAGGCATCTGAATCGGGTGGTTCCTTCTTTATTTTGCGACGTGGTGGAGAGATATCCGGCTGATCACTGCTGCGTGTTAGATTTTTCTGGACGATGTTACAATCATGGACGCCTGAAGCTGCAGTAATTTTCGCCGTTCGTTTACTTGTACTGGGAGCAGACGCGTCTGAAAAAGGTATCGAGGATGAGACAACAAAAAAGAAAACGCGGGAAAATCTGAAAAATTTGAAAATCAAAAAATCTAAGCCATTTTCTACAACTAATAAATCTACTCATGCAAAATTATGCTTCCGCCACCCGATCTATAACTTCATAACTTTTCTACATGAAAAACGGCGTGCCAGCGTGCATCGTTTATTAGTTACGTGGGGATCCAATGTTAGTGATTTTGCTGTTCGATTCTGAATTACGTACCTCCACCGCATATTTACCTTGCTGCATTTTTGGAGGTCGTCCAAGAAGTCACATATTTCTACACGTACCACCCGCTAATGTAAGACATCCACCGGCTGTCAGCAAGGCAACTAACGGCAAGAAGCGACTTTGTTAGTCTGAAGCTACCAACACTTGATTTCTGCCAGCAGTTCGTTTTCTCTGAACACAAATGCAGTGAAAATTTCCTGCTGCCATATCGATGCCGGTTTTTTATACAAGAAAACAAAGAAACCTGCTTCATCTGACGAAAAGCCCTGACGCTCCCGAACTGTTTCCACTTCAGCTAAAAAAGCGAAAGATTTATAGGACATTTCGAAGCAGCCAGTAATCTAAAATGAACTGCAAGATCAGGTGAGGCAAGTGGTGGGGGGAGGAGGAACTCGGCAAGAAATACCTTCACTTCACTTCGCTTTTTCAACAAAATAATCAGGATTGCTTTCAGATATCAAAGTGCACGTGTCTAAGCCAGAACTCT